GATGCATTTGACTTGGCCAATATCCCTCGTCTTCCTCTCTCGGATCTTGGCCATCTTATAGATGTCCTTTTCGCCTTCCTTCGTGCCTAACCGTTGGTAGAGGTCCTCATACGCCCGACCCCTTGCTTCACCAACAGCTCGCTTTGCGGCCTTCTTCGCCATCTTGTACTTCTCTATGTTGTGTGCACTCCTATCCAGGTATAGGCGTCTAAAGCAATCTTTCTTCTCTTTAATCGCCTTCTGGACATCATCATTCCACCACCAGGTATCCTTATCTTCGCTTCTCCTTCCCCTGGACACTCCAAACTCCTCTGAGGCCACCTTACGAATGCAAGTCGCCATCTTCATCCACACATTGTCCGCATCCCCTCCTTCCTCCCAAGGGCCCTCCTTAATGACCCTCTCCTTGAACGCCTGAGCTACCTCCCCCTTGAGCTTCCACCACTTCGTTCTAGCGACTTTAGCCCGCTTATCCTGCTGGACACGAATCCGAAAGCGGAAGTCAGCAACCACCAGCTTATGCTGGGGTACAACACTCTCTCCAGGTATCACCTTACAGTCTAGGCACGCACGCCTATGTTCCCTTCTCGAGAGGATGAAATCAATCTGGCTAGAGTGTTGGCCACTACTAAAAGTCACCAGATGTGATTCTCTCTTTCTAAAGAGGGTGTTAGCTACAATCATGTTGTAGGCTAGAGCAAAGCTTAAGACATCGTCTCCTTCTTGATTCCTGATGCCATAGCCAAAGCCCCCATGCGCCCCTTCAAAACCTGTGTTAGATGTACCCACGTGGCCATTGAGGTCTCCTCCTATGAAGAGCTTCTCACCAATCGGTACACTCCTAACCATGTCTTCCAGGCCTTCCCAGAACTCCCTCTTGGTGTTCTCATTGTGGCCTACTTGCAGGGCATACGCGCTGATAACATTGAGAACCAAGTCCTCAACTACCAGCTTGACCAGGATAATCCGATCCCCACGTCTCTTGACGTCTACCACTCCATACTTGAGGCTCTTGTTGATCAAGATGCCTACGCCATTTTTGTTTGCAGCCGTCCCCGTGTACCATAGCTTGAAGCCGGTATCCTCCACCTCCTTCGCCTTCTGTCCTCTCCATTTGGTTTCTTGGACGCAAAGGATATCAACACCTCTCCTCACCGCTGCATCAACTAGCTCCCGAAGCTTCCCTGTCAGAGACCCTACGTTCCAGCTACCTAAGCGAATCCTCCTAGGCTCGGCTAGCTTCCTTACCCTTCGCACTCGTCGAGTCAAATGCGAAGACCCTTGCTCATTTTTCACTACATCCGGGCGCCGATGTAGCGCGCCACTAAGGATGCGACGACCCGATCCTCGCTCACTTGCCACCGTATCCGGATCAAGATACGGCGCGCCACCTGGGGGGTGACGGCCCGGCCCTTGCCCATTTTCCACCACACCCGGGTTCCGATGTGGCGCGTCGCTGAGAGGGTTACGCCCCAACGAAAATCTTTTGGGTTTCATCTCCATAAGAGTGGCTGAGTTTTTTACGTTGGCTCGCCAAGCCTATCACAACCCTCCTCCTTTACCCGGGCTTGGGACCGGCTATGTTGAGACAACATAGGCGGAGTTAAAAAAGAAGCATTGGTGCTCGGACCCCTAAACAAAAAAGTCCAAGGGTTGGCCGTGCGTGCGTTTATCTATTTTTAGGTTCGTTTATCTCTTTCTTATTAAATGAGAAAAAAGCAGATCAGCAAAAAAAAAACACGAGAGATACCGAGCGAGGAGTGACGCATGCAGACTTAGCCTTGATTTGCCTCGCGTACTACCTACCTTTTTTTAAAAGGAAATATTTTTTTTAGCATCAGTACAGACACAAGCGCTCATATACACGTGCATACACTCACCCCTATGAACGCATACACGCACACCCTATCCCTATGAGCACTTCCGAAAGACTGAGCCGGCATATAATCTTGAAATTTACGAAGTATAGGCGCCTCGTCGTCGACGGGAACGTCTCCTTCCACTGAAAGCGTATCGCCGGAAATCCTGAAATAAATCCAGGAATAATGCGAGTACCAGAATTTGAACCCTGATGGGTTGGGGATACCACTGTCCACCTAACCAACTCAAGCACAGGTTGATTCGCTAAAGGGAAATATATTAATATCAAGTAGATATCAATTACACCTAGCCTCTGCACCAACAAGATATTTAAAAACATTCAGGATGCATACAACCAAAAAGAAAATAGAAACAGGAACAAAAAAGAAAAAATACCCTGCCATGGTGATCTATCATCTGCAGTAGCAACACTCTAACCACCACCAAAGACAACACCTGAACTAAAAAGAAGGTTCTCCAAAAGCAACGCCTCCAAAAGATGGATTGGCGGAGGGATCGATGGATGTTAGCGCACAAGACTGATCTTGGTCCTTATGCTTGCATCATAGACAAATACTCTTACATGGGAGTGCAGTGGGAGGCAGTCGACAGCAAAAAAAGCTCTAGTTAGCTTGTTCAAAGCTCGTAATAAAGAGGAATTCGTGTACAATGAGGAGGATAGACAGAGCGGCACAATTGATCATGTTGATAGCGACTATGATCACAATGAAGATGGCGTCTGTTACCCTGATGACTTCAGCAACACACCTGATGATATTGATGGCGATAGTGATGACGCTAATGGTGAAAGTGATGACAATGAAGATGGTGTCTGTGAGACTGATGACCTTAGCAACACAATTGATGATGTTGATGGCGACAGTAACTATGATGAAGATGGCGTCTATGAAGCGCATGACTTGAGCGACACAACATATGATGTTTATGCACAAGATGAAGAAGCATATGTGCATGTAGATGAAGATGGCCGATTCGAGTACTCATGGAACTCAGATGAGGACAGCTTCATTGATGTGGATGGAAGTGTCGCCGACCGCGATGACGATGAGTGTGATTACTACCTCATAGGATTACAGCCGCACAAGGACGTGGTGTTCCTACAAACTTCCAACAGCGCGGTTGCAGCATACCATGTCATGACTTCAAGAATGCAATATTTCGGAAATCAGCTTGTTAAAGACCCTTTCACATATTTTCATGGCGTTAGAGATGTGCGAGGTAAAGCTCCTTAATGCCTGTGAGATTCCAAAACCGCGCATGCTTGAGTGAAGTGTTGAAGTTGTTCTCAGACATATCAAAGACTTTTAGATGTGTGAGATTGGAACGTGGTATACTAGTAGACATGGTATTATTTAGACTACAATAGGGCAACATAAGCACTTTAAGAGAAGGAAGCATGTTAACCCTCTGAAACAAATCCCTCTCGGAACTAAGATCGGCACCACTCATGTCAAGATGGCTCACCAAAGATAGACCTGGTGACCATGCAAGATCCATTGTTTGGAAATCATTCCAACTGACATCAAGATAATGCAATTTTGAGAGATTGCCAAGTTGGGAAGGTATTTTCCCACTGAATCCCGCGAACGAGAGGTTGAGATACCTAAGGTTATTGAGGGAAGCCAAGAACACAGGGATGCTTGTGCAGTTGAAGTAATTCCCGCTCAGATCAAGATACGTCAGTTGTTGTAAAGTAGCCAAAGTAGAGCTCATCTCGCCTGCTGACAAGCTCAATGATCTGCGCATATTCGGGTAGTTGTATTCGTCCATGTCGATGTTGCGGAGGCTGAGCTTGATGAGATGGCCTCTTCTGTTGCTGCACTGGACTCCCTTCCATTGGCAACAATCCTCACCCGGTCATGACGAGAGACGGTCAGCACGGTCTAGGAGGCTTGCCTTGAGGACAGAAGCGCATATCGGTCGCTGCTGATGCAGGCTCCTGATACACTCGCTTGGCCATGGGAAGTGGACCCTGCTTGGAAGATCAATAGGCAAAGGAGCAGTGCAGTTCCTCGGTCATATTGGTCGGGAAATGGCAGATGGAATTGAGAATGGACAGAGCAGCTTCTCTGTATTCCAATTCCACCACAACAACAACATAGGATAGGAGTATTGGTCTTGCCGTGCATACTTTTCCTATACTCAATTAGCTGTAGTGGCTAGAATTTGCCATGAGTCAGACAGCACGGCAGACAAGTTGGAGTGCCTTCTTAAAAGTTTTGTTTGATGATAAGTCATGCTCGCATTACCAAGTCACCACTCCTCAAGTTTGTTGATCATAAAATAAAGAAATAAATATATTATTTTTCTACATGCTGCCGCGCGTGATAAAGTGCCGTGAGTGCGTGATAAAGTCAGCACTAAGCCAAGTGGCGAGGTCTATTCTCCTTTTGACTTTTGATAAGGTGCCGTGCGTGAGAATATTTTTGCAGGTGTGAGCAGAGAAAGGCGTTTTGGTGCCCAGGCTCATCTGCACCCGGTTAGAAAAAAATTGTAAACAATTCAAAATAAATTCAAAAAATTCCAAATAAAATTTGTGTGGTAGAAAATTTGATGCGTGAGGCCCGCTCCAAATTTCAAGTCATTTGGACATATGAGCAGCTCTCAGCAAAAAGACAAATTGGGCCAAAAAAGTACATGAACAGTAAACATTTTTACAGACCCCCAATTTGTCTTTTTTGCTGAGAGCTGCTCATATGTCCAAATGACATGAAATTTGGAGCGGGCCTCACGCATCAAATTTTCTACCACACAAAGTTTATTTGGTATTTTTTTGAATTTTATAGTATTTTTTTTGATTTTTTTCGTCGGCGCAGGTGCAGATGAGCTCGGATGGAGAAATGGATTTTCGGTGTGAGCATGGTTTTCTTTTACGAAACTGCTGTTTGAACGACATAGCCTGCACGACAGCTACACTTTACTGATATGCATGGACGGACCGATATACGCTGTCGTTCACACATGGTCCGCGCATCATCGTGTGCATAGCAACACTCTTTCTTTTAAACCCGTGCAAGCAAAGCAAGCTGAGCGTGGAGCATTCAGCATTCCAACTTCCAACTCAACTCACAGGCTTCACGGCTGACACACCTCATAGCCCGGCCGGCAGCGACAAAACCATGCAGGAGAGGCTGCCGTTCCGTGCGATCCGGCCGAGCAAAGGTACCCTAGCTACCTCTCTCTTGGGCAAAGGTGCCTCCTCCTCCTGATTACTCATTCAAGTACTGCTTCTTCCGTGTGTGTTTGTGTGTGTGTGTTCGGTTGGCTATGTGCATCTTAGTTACGCAGAGACCGGGTGTGTGCTCAGTGTGTTATGTATCCTCTTGATGCTTCAATTTTGAACCAATAAAATCCGCCTTTTTTGAAAAAAAATATTGCTTCTTCCATCTTGTTTGTTGCCAAACATAAAAATCTCGCAAAAGGCAAAACTAATATTTTTCACATGGGTTCTACTTCTAATATTTTCCCTCATCGGACCATGAAACCTATTAGTATTGTTCATGAGAGCAAGCTCGCAAAACCTACTAGTATTGTTCATGAGCTACACAGCGCGGAGCTAGGAAAAATCGATTAGGGGGGCCAAATGAGTGATAATATTGATGAGAGGGGCCAAATGATGGTAATCTTCATAAAATTTCTTAAAATCTGGAGGAAAATAGGGGCATTATACTGCACTTCCTGGGTCATGGGGGGAGCGATGGATCCTGCCAGTCCCCCTAGCTCCGCCACTGGACCTACTCATAAGTTTTTTTCCTCTTTGAAAACAAGATACAAGCTTGTGTATCGATTGATGCACACAATGACCAATCTTGCAGTAAACATAGTATGCACAATGTTTTATTCTTTATTCACTCTTTGCAGGTGATAGGGCCCTTGGTCAAGCGACAAGGCTCGCCCCAATCTTTATGTTGCTGTCGCTGCTGCTGATTTCTTGTGGAGTCGGCAGCATTCGCTGCTCCTCGATGACCGTCCATGGTAACATCACGGACATGATCTCGCTGCTAGATTTCAAGCGGGAATCACTAACAACTCAAGACAAGCCTTAAGATCTTGGCAAGCCAGTGTCCCTCTTTGCAGTTGGGAGGGCGTCCACTGCAGCTCGGGGCGAGTCACTCAGTTGTACCTCAGCGAACGAGGGTTGTTGGGCCCGATATCCCCCTCACTCGGGAATCTAACATTTCTTAGGGCACTGGACCTATCCAAAAATGGGTTCACCGGCGAGTTACCACCTCTCAACCGTCTCCACAGATTGGAATACATTGACTTGGGAAACAACTCACTACGAGGGACCATTCCAGATACTCTCACAAACTGCTCCAAGCTATGGATCCTAGACCTATCTGCCAACTTACTAATTGGTGGAATTCCCCTTGGTATAGGTCGCCTATCCAATCTAAGGAAAGTATGGCTTTCCTCAAATAATCTCACCGGAACAATCCCACCAAGCCTAAAAAACAGCAGTCAGCTTGAAGAAATCGTGCTTACTGATAATAAGCTCACGGGAACTATTCCTGATGAGACGGGAGTTTTCCCATTTCTTGTTTATTTAGGCCTTGGTGGAAATATGCTATCGAGTGGAATCCCAGAAACCCTGTACAAATATAATCAGTCTTCTCTCCAATTTTTATACTTATATTCCAATATGCTTGGGAAAACACTGCCATTGAACTTTGGTGACACCCTCCTGAATCTTAAACATCTCTGTTTGGACAATAACAATTTTGAAGGTCATCTTCCTGCTTCACTAGGCAATATTTCAGGGCTAAGACTGTTAAACTTTTCTTCCAACAATTTCATTGGTCAAGTTTCAGGTTCTTTTGGTAATCTTGTACTGTTAGAATACCTAATCCTTCAGCGAAACAATTTTTGGGGCTTCCTCCTAATAGAGCTTGGCGGCTTAAGGCAGCTCACCCATCTGGATCTGTCTGATAATAATTTGCAAGGTGGTGTGCCATGACACGGAGTGTTTGTTGAAAATAACAGTTCCGTCTCACTTGGAGGCAACATGGACATTCTTTTGGAGGAACACTGGATCTGAGCCCATGTCCCGCCATCTCTTGGAGAGAAGAAACACAGTATGCACTAGCTACCTGATTATTGGACTACTCATTACAATACTTGGTCTGTCACTCATATTGTTTGGCCTATTTTATGCTCATCAAGATGTCAGGAGTGTTAGAATAAACGAGAAAGCTAAATTCCTACCGACTGGCAGCTTGCAACAGATTCACACGATTTGTTAACCGATTTAGCGCTAGCGGTTTAAACAATACTGCGCGTCGGGCGTGGACAACGTGAGAAACCCAGAATCCTGCATGCAAAAAATTAATGACTGCGGCTGGAGTCGAACTCCAGACCACAAGGCCATTCACGGGGGAGCAAACCACCTGGTCCATGCACGGTTTTCTATTGGAATCAAGCATCGTGTTGTACTTATATCCACACCTAATGATGACTATTTTCTGGACAACCTGCATAGTTTGTTTTATGAGATTTTCTTCATGAAGATTTATAGAACATAGCTAATGGATTATGTATTAACATTGTGGTAGCCTTTTACATCGGGACAAGTGTCACTAAAAAACCATACCCGATAACTTATGTATAAATAGCTTGATAATATACACATAACATAGCTGATAAGTCAAGTACAAACGCCGCGATAACTTTTCACCCTGGCATAAAAGTTATTAAAACTACATACCTGAATAACTTATGTGCAAATAGCATAGTAATATACGGATAATAGAACTTAACTCACGTACAATCATCTCTATAACTTTTGATGCTGGGATAAAACTTGTTAAAAATATATAGATGATAACTCACCTACAATCATCATGATAACTTCTGATCCTGAGATAAAAGTTGTTGAAAATACATACCCTATTATTTTAGGTGTCAATAATATGATAATATACGCACAACATAGCTGATAACTCATGTACAATCGCCACGATAAGTTTTGGCACTGGCCAAAATTTTATTGAAAATGCATACCTATAATTTCTGTGTAAATAGTATGGTAATATACGCACAAGAAAGCTATTAGTCATGTAGAAAGACCGTGGTAACTTTTGACCACGGGTTAAAAATTATGGAAAAACATACCTCGCCCCCCTCCCCATAACTTCTAGTACGTAAATAGAGTGATAATACACGCACACCAGAGTTGATAACTCGCGTACAAATGCCACGATAACTTTTGACATGAGAAAAAAAGTTGTTGGAATACATACACCTTATAACTTATGTGTAAATAGCATGATAATATATGCACAAAAGAGATGATAACTCACATACAAAATATTACGGTAAATTTTTCTTTACTCGGAAAAAAAGTTATTCCCTCCGTCACGGTTTAGAAGGCGCGCTTGGAAATTCTCTGGGACCTAGGTGGTTATCTATTGGTTGTGGGATGGGCTAAAAAATAGCATTCACACTACACATGCATATAAAAATAGTATATCAGAGTACTAATTAGCTACTAGAAATAAATGCAAAGCGCCCTAAATCTTGTCTATTGTGGAAACGCACGCAAATTTAACTGTGCCTTCTAAACCGTGACGGAGGAAGTATTAAAAAACATGCCCCGATAACTTCTGTGTAAATAGAATGATAATACATGCACATCAGAGCTGATAACTCACATACAAACGTCGCGGTAACTATTTACCTAAGAAAAAAAGTAGTTGGAAAATATACACCCGGTAACTTAGGTGTAAATAGCATGATAATATACACATAGGAGATCTGATAACTAATGTACAAACATCAAGAAAATTTAATGACCAACGGAAAAAAAGTTGTTAAAACAACATACCCGAAAACTTCTATGCAAATTGCACAGTAATATACACAGTACAAATCCGATAACTCACTACAAACACCACGGTGACTTTTAACCACGAGATAAAAGTTTATTGAAAAACATACTCTGGTAATTCTATGAAAACAGTATGATAATATACACATGACAGGGTTGATGATAACTTACTTAGCCTAGACGTGATAACTTTTTCACCCTGGATTTTTTTTTGAAAAACACCATGTGTCAATATCATGGTAATATATGCCCACCAGAGTTGATAATCTTCTTCGCCCTGGCATGGTAACTGTTTTGACCAGAGGATTTATTTTGTTGAAAAACACCCCCTCCCCATTATCATGGTAATATATACACAACAGATCTATAACTTAGTTACCCCAGATGTGGTAACTTTTTGACATAAAAAAATCTTCGGAACATAGAAACATGGGATCTAGTTTTGAAGGCATCGTCGTTTCGAGCTACAAAACATTTTGGATTTTCTAAAAAGGGAGAATTGTGGTCGACATTAAATTTTTTTGGCCCTCTATTGTATTCATGCATGTACACGTGAGAAAAAATTGTGGGAACCATTTTTTATACCTCGATAATATTTGTGTAAAAAACATGATAAATTATGTCTTGCACATTGGTAACTTATGTAGGAGAGGCGTAATAACTTTCGACCTGAAAAAAAAGGTCGTCGGAACATATCAACATGGGATCTAGTTTCAAAGATCTCGTCGCGACAATTTTTTTATATGAAAGCAGTTTTTCAATCGGAGCTATGGTTTATGCTACAAAACATTTTAAAGTTTAAATTTCAGAGGAATCTCACGCGCATGCAAAATTATTATGGCCTCCTGCATGCATGCTTCGGATCTGACATCTGCGAATCGTCCGCACCTGTTGTTAAAATCCTACCATCCGGAAGTTAGCAAAGTCCTAGAATAAATCTGAAATATACCGTCGATCATCCGAGGACCAAGCAATCACACGAGCACGGCACCGAGATTTGTTAACGAGGTTCACCGATATGGCTACATCCCCGGGGCATGACTATGGGCGCTCCTCCCCGTGATACCGCTACAATACCGCACCCGGTCGCCCTGGACACCGGCACATGCCGCCGACTTCCCCTGCGTTCCGGTGCTATTATGTTGGCTTAGGTTACATCGTGTGTTTACCCCCAATATATATGAGAGGCTTAGGATACAAGTGTCCTATTAGGATACGACTCCACATCCTATGTAAACACAATACAACTCCTAGTCCAACTGTAACCTACCTTGTACACTATATTCGACACAACTCCAACAAACTCCACCTTGACGAATATTCTCCACCACTCTGA